ATAAGTCCTTATTCCGGAACACTGTTCCGGAAAAGGGCCAGTGTAGACAGCCCAGTAGTATTTTCCGGAAAAAAAGCCCCGATCGCGAAAATGACAATCGAGGCTCTTTTCCGGAAAAGCGCGTCTACATTGGCCACAGATGCTTTTCCGGAAAAAGGGCTTTTCTGGAAAAGCAGCCTGCCAATGTAGATGCTCTTTTTCTGGAAATACTTATAACGAAAACTATTCTGTTTTAAGCATTTCCGGAAATTCATGCCAGTGTAGACACAGCCAGTGTGATAATATAATACTGGCTTATATTTATAACTCTCTGTAAGCATCCCAGGTATCAGCGGTGAAAGTGGGTCCATACAGCAGGCTGGTAAGAACCTGCTCTGGAACGTGTCTGTATACGGGTAGGGCAGTGCTTTAACATCAGTGCCCCCTTTGCTCTCCTCCCTCTCCCTGTCAGTGGCTATAAGGTCTAGCAATGCTGTTGCAGCAGCAGCATTCAAAGGCTGCCAGGGCGGTGCTGCCAGACTCTAACAGCAGGGCCGCCAACTGTGGGGAAACACAAAAGGGTCAGCTGCTCCAGGGACTGGTGATTTAAAAGGTCCTGGGGTTCCCAGCCTCTTTCAAATCGCTGCCAGAGCCCCAGGGAAAGCCATGAAGGACTGCCTGGTGGGGGGTGGGCACTGTCTGCCCTCAGCCCCTTCCGCTTAAGGCCCCATGCCTTGGTGGGTCCAGAGTCTCTCCCCTCTTCTCCCCCGCCCCCAGGATGTCCGGCCTGGTGCAGGGCACACCAATAAGTCCCGGCATCTGCTTTCACCCCTGCCAGTATACACTACCCAATGCTTTTTGAGGCCAGACCAGTGTGTTAATAGTTGGTATGTGCTACCTTACAGAACACCTTTTAGATGCATATTATGCCAACAGTGCATGAGTTGGTCAGTCCTGGAAAGAGTTTCTGACTCAGAGAAATTAACTACAAATGGGCCTCTCTGTCACACAGCCAAAGTACCTGTTTGCATCTGTGTCTCTGTGAATTTTGATAATTCTGGGGGTATGTTTCTAATCTTATTTATCGTGTTGTAACTCCACTGATTTCAATAGTTGTTCCTGATTTATGCCAGTTTGTAAACATGATCGCAATCAGTGTGTAAATACTTCAGCTTCATAGCATGGATTAGGCAATACGTGGGATGAGTTACAATTTAGAACATTAATTGTTGGTTTGTTAGCTATTGTATCTTTCTTTCAGCAAGTTTTTCTGCACAGCTATTAACTAATGCCCACTATGTCTTGTTTTCAATAGAACCCAGTCCAGTGTTTCACCTCCAAGTTGTAAACATCAGCACAACAGAAGTAAACTTAAGTTGGCAAAACAATGATGCCAATGCTTCTAACTACCTTTACGTAGTAATCTCAGAAGAAAATGGATCACAAACCAACACGAGCAAGTCATACCCCCTCACAGATAATACATTTGGGGCTACAATTATAGAATTAAACCCTGGCACCTCCTATACGTTCACAGTGTTTCCACAATTGCAATGTAATGAAACAGAGGGAGACCGAATAAGCATAACTAACTGTACAGGCAAGTTCCAAGAAATATACTGCTTTTATTGAAATTCTTTGTTGTTTATGTATTGGATACCCAGCAACTGATTTGCTTGTTTAGCACTCATTTGGGGTTCACATTCTAATCTGACTTAACTGTGTGCACATCCATCACTTCCAATAGCATGGCAGAAGGTACGTATCAAGGTAGAATATAGCCCTTGGTCTTTATGCTGTGCAGCCATGTAAAGATAATTGCAATCTTCTTTGCAGAACAGTCATTCATTCATGAGGTGTACACTGTCACTTACCTTTTGGTGGCATACATTCTTTTTGAACTACAGGTGAACCTCTCTAGTCCAGCACCCTCAGGATCTGACTGGTACTGAACCAGAGAATTTGATGAACCACAGGAGGTCAATATTGTCTACCACAGGGGTGGGCAATAATTGTTGGACTGGGGCCATTTCAAAAATTTTTGAAGTGGCCCCAGGTCACCCTGGAAGGGGCGGGGCCTAAACAGGAAGGGGGAGCCAGGATGCTTCTGGGCTTCCCCACCCACAGACCATGATTGGTCTGGGGATGGGGGATTGCCCCCCTCATCCCACTAGGCACCCAAGCCCCTAGCAGGGCCTGGGGGTGGGGGAGCATGAGAAGCCTCCTCCTTCCCTGCAAGGAGTATGTGGCTCTTTGAAGTGCTGCGGGCTCCTCGCAGGGCTGGGGCAGAGCGAAGGAAGTTTCCTGCAGCTCCCCTGATTGGCCTGGGGGCAGTGGGAGCATGTGAAGCCTCCTCTCGCCCTACCCCGCCCTGTGAGGCACACGTGGCACTTCAAAGTGCCACACTCTCCTCGCAGGGTGGGAGGAGGCTTCATGCGCTCCCCCGCCTCCCAGATCAATCAGGGCCTGGAGATGGGGGAGCTGTGTGTAGTTTCCTTTACCCTGCCCCTGCCCCTGCCCCGCATGAGCGTAGGGCACTTTGAAGTGCTTCACGGTCCTCGTGGGGGGGCAGGGGAGGCAGAGGAAACTTCAAGCCCTGTTCCTGCCCCCAGGCCAAACAGCGCTTAGGGGCAGGGGAGCAAGTGACATCTCCTCCCACCCTGCGAGGAGCACGTGGGGCTTCAAAGGGCTACGTGCTCTTGGCAGAGTGGGAAGAAGGGGAGTGGCAGGGCTTCTGCGGGCCGGATCAACCCACTTGGCAGGCCCGATCCGGCCCGCAGAGGCCATTTTGCCCACCCCTAGTGTAGCAGCATTACTCACACTTCTAAGAGACCAGTAAGCAGTGGAAGACATTTAAGGGTAAATTAGAGCTAAACAGTAGCACAAAATACTGAGAGCCAGGACTGGTGGCAGTAAATAAACTTTATGGGACTGCAGGAAACTTGGCCACATGATAAGTGGACATCCAGCTAACTAAAATCATGTGAGACCATAGATGTTGCCGCAACAGAGTGCCAGACTAGAGAGGTTCAGCCTGTAGTTGCTTCTTATTTTGCACTTTTTCCTGCATTTTCTGACACATTCTAAACTCATGAGGACAGAGAATAAAAACAAACTAAATACTGTAAAGGAGTGTAATAATTTGGGGAGAAAGAAGACTGAGGATGTGGTATGGAGATAGAGAGCAAGAGAATGGAAAAATAGCCGAAAACATAATAGGATATAGGTGCTAGATAATATTTATTATTTGTATACTACAACAAATGTGTATGGTGGTTCGCAGAGAGATGAAAACCATAGATTCTGCCCTGGCGAAGTGTAAATTGATTGAACAGATAAACATCCAATTTGCTCCATTACTTAACCTTGTTTCTTCTTTTGCAGTTGCTGCATCAGTGTCTCAATTTAGCTGTACACCGGTGGCTAAACAGTCTGTGTTAGCACTAAGGTGGAGCAGCCCTAACGGCAGCTATACTAGCTTCAAAATTAACACAGTCAATGCTGTGTGGAGGAATGAAACACCATTTTTGACCAGGAGACCATAGATGTTGCCGCAACAGAGTGCCAGACTAGAGAGGTTCAGCCTGTAGTTGCTTCTTATTTTGCACTTTTTCCTGCATTTTCTGACACATTCTAAACTCATGAGCCCAGGTTAACGTAAAAAGAAGAAAGTGAACGGAGAATAAAAACAAAATAAATACTGTAAAGGAGTGTAACAATTTGGGGAGAAAGAAGACTGAGGATGTGGTATGGAGATAGAGAGCAAGAGAATGGAAAAATAGCCGAAAACATAATAGGATATAGGTGCTAGATAATATTTATTATTTGTATACTACAACAAATGTGTATGGTGGTTCGCAGAGAGATGAAAACCATAGATTCTGCCCTGGCGAAGTGTAAATTGATTGAACAGATAAACATCCAATTTGCTCCATTACTTAACCTTGTTTCTTCTTTTGCAGTTGCTGCATCAGTGTCTCAATTTAGCTGTACACCGGTGGCTAAACAGTCTGTGTTAGCACTAAGGTGGAGCAGCCCTAACGGCAGCTATACTAGCTTCAAAATTAACACAGTCAATGCTGTGTGGAGGAATGAAACACCATTTTTGACCAGTAATCTATCTACAACTATAACAAATTTAAATTATTCCACCACCTACAGTGTTAGTATTATAACCTGTTCATGTGGGAAAGAAAGCCTTCCAGTGCAAAAAACATGTGATACAAGTATCACTGGTGAGTATAAAAAGTTTGAGGGAGGGGGTGTGGAGGTAGCATATGGGACCCCTTGCCTCCAAAGAGCTCTGAGTTTACAACATGCAAAATGTATAGCATTATACAGTATTTGTCAGTATTCAAACTATGAAAGACTTTTTCTCCATTCATAGTTGTGTGTGAAAACATAAATAATAAGTATGTAGAACTAGTATGATCAATTATATGGATGTTCTTTTCCATACAACATTTTTATAAGAACTACACACTATTTCTTTGTTGGCTTGTTTGATTTTAAAGCTGCTATCTCTTAAGTGACATTAAAATGTGTTAATTTATATTCTTACCTCCAAAGAGCTCTGAGTTACAACATGCAAAATGTCTAGCATTATACAGTATTTGTCAATATTCAAACTATGAAAGACTTTTTCTCCATTCATAGTTGTGTGTGAAAACATAAATAATAAGTATGTAGAACTAGTATGATCAATTATATGGATGTTCTTTTCCATACAACATTTTTATAAGAACTACACACTATTTCTTTGTTGGCTTGTTTGATTTTAAAGCTGCTATCTCTTAAGTGACATTAAAATGTGTTAATTTATATGATGTTGCTCAGTGTACAAATTGTAATAATCTGAGACCCTGGGAGAAAATGGTGGGCTTTCTTGTAATTTTCCTAGATAGTTGGAAAAGGTAGATATTTTGAAGTAAGGTGTCTTTCACCTTGATTTACCTTCTCCTTCCAGCATATTGAAAAGCTAATTTAATGTTAATATTTCTCTTTTACAGACCCTCCTTCTCCAGACGAGAAACCTGGTGTAACATCCGTCTCTTACAACTCTTTTAAAATTAAGTTTGGTGGATTTGAGTCAAAAAATGGACCGTTAATTGCCTATGCATTAGTAATCACAACAGATAATGGTAAGATCTTAGGATGTTAGCTCCCAGATGTACTATTCAGTATATCAGACATTATGCATATATCAATTGAGACAAACTTTTTAGATCCTAAACTACATGAAATATTACTCCTGATATTTGCAGTCAACTATTCAGAAACATAGAGTGAAATTTTGGTTCAAGGACAAAACACTGTTTGACTTCACAAGTCAGGATTTCACTCAGGTTTGACCAGCCTGAATTGTTCTAGTTTATAGGCCTTATACAATGGTGCTACGATCAAGTGATAACTCCTTACTGGTTTGCCAGTAATAAGAACTTCAAAATTTTACAGTATTTTTTGTACAGCAATTTTAGGGGCTGGCAATTAATAACTACTGAATTTTGGGGTGTTTCTCAAGGTTGTGAAGATTACTACAATAAAAATGTCAACTTTCGGGAGGTGAAGCACTGTTTTCCAGTTTTACTACTAATAACCTATGGTTGTTGGGGGCTTTTTTATGGATGAAAGGGTGAAGGTGCATTGTCAGCATTATACGCTAAGGGAAACAGAGGAAGCCATAAGGCTTGCTATCAGGAGTTGCTCTAAAATACATTAGCTTTAAAGCATCAAAAAATTAAAAGAAAAATTGTACTTGGTTAACTACAATGATAACTCATGAAATCAGCAAGCCTTTTCTTTTCAGGTTTAAATATTTTTCATTCCTGCAGAGGAAGGCAGCTGAAATAAGTAGTTCCCCAATGCAGGATTGTATTGACTCATGAACAGATATAATGATCCCGCAACTTGCCTGTTGTTTTTACCGTGTGTGTGAATTTACCAGCAGCTGCCCTTGTAGATCTTCACTCAATTTTTTGCAACTTGCCTGTTGTTTTAACCATGAGTATGCATTTCCCAGCAGCTGCCCTTGTAGATCTTCACTCCCTTTTTTTAAAAGTACACTTTCTTGTACAATAGTGAGTATACCAGTGGTAGGCAAATACCAGCCTGTGCTCCAGATCTTGTCCACGAGTGTTAGCTCCTGGCAAATTTTTTTAAAAGTACACTTTCTTGTATATTAGTGCATGGGCAAATACCAGCCTGTGCTCCAGATCTTGTCCACGAGTGTTAGCTCCTGGCAAGCCCCCACACTGCTGTATTTATCTGTTCTTCTGCAGGTACAGGTGATTGCAACGCCCATTGGCTGTGAATTTACCTGTTCCTCTGCAGGTACAGGTGATTGCAACGCCCATTGGCTGTGGATCGCCCTTCCATGACAATGGGAGCTGCGATCACCCATACCTGCAGAGGTGCAGGTAAATATAGTGGCAACAGCCCACCAGGGGCTAACTCCGGTGAACCGCCATTATTTTATTGCCCACCTCGGCTTATACCATCAGTGATACTTGAATAACTTCTTGTACTCCAGTATCCTCAGTTTGCCTTAGCTGGCTGCCCCAAATTGTTTTTTAATGCCAGCATTTTATCAGCATACTTGTATTTTTAGATGCTTCTAATTGCTAATTTTTACAATTGAATCACATGCAAAGCGCAGTTCTCTGTTGCGTTTGTTCATTAAGGCAAGAAATGGATTTTTCTAGTTGTGTCAGTGTCAGATTTATGCTTTACTATGAGGGGGAAAGATTTTAGCAAAGGACTCGTCAGCCTGGTAACTGTAATATTCCCACTGTATAACACTCAACTGTCTATAATCGTTGTACACTAAGTGTAGGGTGGAGTTGTGGTGTTTGGGACAGTAACTGTTTTTCATCATTATCTCCAGTGTAGAAATTGCATCAGATGCTCTAATGTGAAGCAAACAGAGTGCTCCAGACACTCTTCTGCCTTGAGCCTTGCTCCTGCACCATTAAAGGCAGTGATTTCAGTGAGCCCTAAGTGTCCCTGTAGTATGCACAGAGCTGGCTTTTTAGCTGTTAGTTTGCTCACAAAACAACCTTCCTTAGCCTTCCGCCAACCTTTCGTTAGTTATTAACTTAATACTGTTTTCTCAAAAAAGTTGTTTTTAAAATCAGTAAGTGGGGAGGGAGGCCTGTGATGAATGGGAGGGGTAATACTGTTTTCTGGACACTCCTTCTATTCAGTTAACTAGTGCCAGAGTGGGGAACAGCCTTTTGATGGTCTTGGAACTGCCCCAACACTACCACCATGTCAAACTCCATCTTGTCTATAGTGAGAGATCTTCCTGTCTAAGGACATCCTCCCACTTTGGTGTCTGTCATATGGCTGCCACCCTCTGTTCCTACCCCTATGAGGTCATTTCCCACTAGCCCCACAGGTACAGTCTCCTGGTTCTCATCCCTGCTCTGCATGTCTGTCACTGAGTTGGATGTCTGGGCCTGATCTGGGGCTGTTGTCTCCTTGGCGTGCTACTTTGGAAAGCTTGGCTGCTCTGCCCCACCACAGATGGGCTGTTTTCCTGCCCTCCTCTAGCCTAGAGCTATCTAGTTGCTGCAAAAGCTAGAAAAACAAAATAAACTGTTTGGTTTGGTCTCCCTGGCTTTGCAGGTGTAACCTTTAGAGTGCTTTTTCCCTCCTCAGGCAGCAAAATTAAAAAACAAACAAACAAAAACACTCCTCAAACTTCCAAACAGCCAAAAAGAAAAAAAGTGTCTTTTTAAAATCCCGAGGGTTGTGCTCCTGCTTTACAATTCCACTAGAGCTGCCACCATGTCAAGGCTGTACCTCACTTTGGCAGAAGGTGGGGCCCGCAAGAGATATCAGTTAACTGAATGGCTGGAATGGCCAGTAAAGGGTACCCCCCCCATACATCACAATGCCCAAGGGCAATCATGAGCTCAGTCAGATCCCTTCCAGTCCTACGCTTCTAGGCTACATCTAGACTGCCCCCACTTGCGCAAGAAAATATGCAAATGAGGCGAAGCGGTGAATATCGCTGCGCCACTTAATGAGCCGCCATTTTGCGCAAATGATAAAAAACTACATTTAGAACATTATTTTAAGCAGTGATTGCCTGGCTTGAGAGTATTACTAATGTTCCACATTCAGGGGTGTCTACACAGCAAAGTTATTTTGGAATAACAGCCATTATTCTGAAATAACTATGCGAGTATCTACACAGCAATTTTGTTATTTTGAAATGATTTTGAAATAACGGCCAACTTATTCTGACTTCTGTAAACCTCATTCTATGAAGAATAATGCCTATTCTGAAATAGCTATTTTGAAATAAGGCATGCGTAGACACTCCACTTCTGCTATTTCGAAATAGCTCCTCACCAGGGCCATTCTAAGTTATTCCTCATGGGGCTCTAAATCGAGATAGCACGTCTACATTAGGGAAGCCTGCCTCAGACTAATTTTGAGGCTTCCCTGCAGTGTAGACGTGCTATTTTGAAATAAGCTATTTTGGAATAACTTTTCCGGAATAGCTTATTCCAAAATAACTGTGCAAGTGTAGATGTAGCTTAAGAGTCCAGTAAACACAGTAACTACTTCTTCTGAGTCTTCTCTTTTAGGAGTGGATGATTCTCAAACAACTCCTATTTGGTCTGTGTTGACCATTTCTCTGATCTCTCTACAGCAAGAGGAGGCTGAAAGAAGCCATTACATCTCAGTTGTTTGAGGTTTATGTACTAAATCCTGGCATACTAAGAGCTTATCTTCACAACCAAATTAGGTTTTATTAAGTCCAGATTAGGACCTTCACAACCAAATTAGGTCCTTAACTCCTCAAAGTTATTTTCTGACTCAGTATTAAGCACAGCTTTGCAGACAGTGAAGACAGGGACAATGTAGTACCTGCCAGCTCTGGCTTAGTCTAGCCGCTGTTTTCATTTCTCCTTCCTCAGGCTAGATTTCCCACTGTCAGAATCTGGTTTGGTTCCTGCAGTAGCTGGGGGCTAAGTCACTGTAGAAGGCTAAGCCATTGCAGAAAAAGTCCACACTTTCCAGGGTCTCAAGCTCCAAAATAAATACAAGAGTCTTCCTCTCCATTCTCAAGCTGGACAGAGCCTCTCCTTCCTGAAGGTCTATTTGACTCCTTCCTTTACACTCTAGACCCTCTCTAGCCTGTCACCTTTTCACTCCCCCTACCTCCACTTGGTGCATTCCTGGGCTTTGTTGATTTCCTCCCAGCTCTCCACCAAGCACGGACTCCCAGGGCTGTCTGTCTGGATTATCCCATCACTGCTTTGGGTCCTCTACAAGCCTCTGTTTTAGCTCCACCCCAAAAGGCTTAATTTAGCCCTATGACCTGTCTGTTATGTGATTTTGCTCATTTTCTTCACCTGCGGAAGCGGGGAAGTGTGTTGCAGGTGGCAGTGGACCTATCTCCCCTGAAGGGGCCATCCTTAAAGTCACCCTGTAACAGGCAAATTGTCTGTCGGCTGTGGTAAACCTGTAGGTGTCAATGAATCTAGGTATCTAAATGTGACTTGTCTCATATATACTGACTGCAAAGCTGTGTTTGTTACAGTAGTTAATGCAGTTTCTTAAGGTCAGGTTCTACAACAATCTAATTTGTCAAGTGAATACTGTCTTAGAGGACTTTCAGCAGTGTGCGGTGATGTTGCAGTGGAGAAGACTTGAGTGCAGGTCATTTTCTGCAGAAGTTATGTTGTACAACAAGTCTTCAGCATATCTAAGAAATTAAAACCAAAAAGTTATGAAAACAGTGACTTTCTTGGGGTAGGTTAACATAAGAGTGAATAGAGTATCTGAGATTGCCCATAATGCCCTCAGCTTTTAATTTCAGGCAATATTTCACATTTCCTGGAATAGTCACAATCGTTAATATTTTATTGTTGCGCTCTGTCTACACAGCAGTTATTTTGGAGTAACTAATGTTATTCCAAAATAACATAGTCTATGTCTACACACAAGCAGTTATTTTGACATAATGTTGAAATAATGTTCAGTCGGAAGACTTCTTATTAGGTCTCTAACTCTGACTTCCTGCTATGTAGACAGCGCCAAAAGCTGAAATAAGCTATTTTGACTTAAGCTATGTAATTGATGTAGCTCAAGTTGCATAATTTATTTCGGATTTAGCCCTGCTGTATAGATGTGCCCTTATTGTCCTTGAGCCAGTCACTTTGTTAGAGTATAATTTTACAAAAACCTTCATTTTCAATTTAATTTTAGTTGATGTTTATTGTATGTTTGTTTTCTCAGAAGGCAATAAACCTACAAATAGCAGCCTGAAATATACATACAAGGACTTCAAGGATAAGAAAACAAACATTTACATAACATATATCATAAATGCTACGCAAATGAGAATCGTTTCCTCCCGTTTGGATAGTTCTCAATATGAAGTGGAAGTAGGAAACAGCCGTACCTCATATGGCTATTACAATGCACCTCTGGAACCACTTGGTTCATACTGGTATTTATCTCATTGTTTGATGTAATTTCCTTGTACACAATTGAAATTTAAGTAATAATTGGATCACCAGATCACAAATACTGCTCGTCAGGCTAAGATTGTTAAAGTTATGTAATGTGACTTTTCATTTTTCTTCCCTCTTACCAGGGCGAGTGTTGCAGGTTTCACTAAAATTGAACTTAGCAACAATAGTGGTGGAATCATTGAAGAGAGAAGTTATGTATCATTTACAGATTTTTCTGACAAAATTTCATTACCCCAGAATCCAGGTAAAGATAAAATAAAATATTGCATCAAATGTTTAGTATATATTGGGCCTATTTGTGTGCTGTTCCATATTAACACTTGATATTGACATCATTTAAAGGTGTTTTACAACACCAGAATAAGAGGGTGGTCTAGTGGTTAGGATGCTCCCCAGGGACTTCAGAGACCCAAGCTCAATTTCTTGCACTGCCGCAAGCTTCCCGTGTGTTTAAGTTTGTGTTTTCAGAGGTGTTTAAATGCGTAAAGATCGAGATCCTAGTGCAATTTTGAAAAAAAGTCCCACCAGTAACTTAGATGCCTGTCTATTTTTAGGTGCCTAAATACCTTTGAAAATCTGGCCTCTGTATATCACTTCCCCTTGTATAAAATGGGAATAATAGTACTTTGTACTGCACAGAGTGGTGTGAAGATGAATACATTAAAGATTGTAAGGTGTTCAGCTACTGGACAAATGTGGGGTCAAAATACCCAAAATAAATGAATCTTAGTTTCCAATGCCAGTTCAAAAACTCTTGTAATCTCAGTTGAGAGGTGGTGCAGAAATGCCAAGTTTTTATTCAATGAAACATTATAAGTTAACCCACATACTCTGATATGAAACTTGCTGCAGATAGTAGAAGTCAAAATGTGCTACCCCTTTCTAGTATGACACTTTCCTCTAAGACTTGTCCTTTCTGTTAGTACGCAGTTTGTGAAATGACTTGCAGGTTCAGATTTAAATAAATGCATCTCAGACTATCTGTGTTGCTCCCTTATTTGTATAGCTGGAAATGCAGCTTCTCAGGCTTTATCTTGCAATTGAAATCCAGGTATAAAAATTGAGCTGCCTTTCAGAAATTGTGTATGATTAAATAAAACTTGAGAGAGGTGAATGGATCTATGGCAATTTACACCAGCTGCTCCTTGGTTTCTTTGCACCATTTCTTCACTTTGAATACAGAATTTTCTCTATACAGGCAGTCCCCGGGTTACGTACAAGATAGGGACTGTAGGTTTGTTCTTAAGTTGAATCTGTATGTAAGTCAGAACTGGCGTCCAGATTCAGCCGCTGCTGAAACTGACCAGCGGCTGACTACAGGAAGCCCATTTACACCAGCTGCTCCTTGGTTTCTTTGCACCATTTCTTCACTTTGAATACAGAATTTTCTCTATACAGGCAGTCCCCGGGTTACGTACAAGATAGGGACTGTAGGTTTGTTCTTAAGTTGAATCTGTATGTAAGTCAGAACTGGCGTCCAGATTCAGCCGCTGCTGAAACTGACCAGCGGCTGACTACAGGAAGCCCAAGGTAGAGCTGCTCTGCCCCGGGCTTCCTGGAATCAGCCGCTGGTCAGTTTCAGCAGCAGCCGACCTTTGGGCAA